GCAGAAGAAGAAGAAGAAGTTTAGAATCAAATATTTAACTGTGCAGAAGAAGAAGAAGAAGTTTAGAATCAAATATTTAACTGTGCAGAAGAAGAAGAAGAAGTTTAGAATCAAATATTTAACTGTGCAGAAGAAGAAGAAGAAGTTTAGAATCAAATATTTAACTGTGCAGAAGAAGAAGAAGAAGTTTAGAATCAAATATTTAACTGTGCAGAAGAAGAAGAAGAAGTTCAGAATCAAATATTTAACTGTGCAGAAGAAGAAGAAGTAGTTCAGAATTTTCGTTATTTTAAAATGAATGTAAACCCCTGTATTTATAGACAACAAAGGGTAGTATGAACAAATGATTATTGTGCCTTACCGGAAAGGTCACAACTCTGAAAAAGTCACAATTTTCGAAAAGGTCACAACCTTTCATAAATGTTACAACCTTTCATAAAAGTCGCAACTCTTCATAAAAGTCACAACTTTTCAATAAAAGTCACAACTTTTCATAAAAGTCACAACTTTTCATGAAAAGGAAAGGCTAATTTTGGAAATAAATAAATTAAAAGGGAATCCTTGTTTGTGGTGATGCCATGTAGGCGGGCCTAGAGTTCTCTTTATATATATTATTATTAAGGACCATATAGATCATGTGGAAATATATATATTAAAGATCAACATAAAGAAACCCTTATACATCAAAGACCATTTTGATCATTCTCTAAAGTTCGACGCAAAGCTTTTTGGTTGTTAAGTTATAGCAGGATTGAGCAACATTCAACAGCTCCAGTCCTTCTGGTTTGCATGGTTCATGTAGCAGTGGAAGAATCAGTCGCCTTTTATGAAGTATGAGCTTTCGAGATCGAATCGTGACAAGGATAATTATTGAATGATAACTATCAAGAAATTTGTGATGCAATGAACTCGTTGCAAAAATCTCAAAATTTGTCTACATATTTGGCATCTCAAAACTTGTCTACATATTTGGCTTGATTTACATTGAGAAAACAGAAAACAATTAGAAAAAAAAAAAACCTTAATGAAAAACCCTAATCCCCAACATTGCTCTTCACAAAACCCTAATGAAAAACCCTAAATTCACAAAATCAAAAATCGGCAGATAGAACCCTCAAAGCTTAAATCTTTTTGTATCTTCATCACCAAAAATTGGCAGATAGAATCCTCAAAATAAATCTTTTTGTATCTTTTTTACCAAAAATCGGCAAATAGAATCCTCAAACTTAATCTTTTTGTATTTTCATCAATTTACAGAGTACAATATTTTTGAATTTGGCTGACCTGATAGTTGCATCATCAATGTACACCACCATCTAATACTTAACAACTTATTCCACAGCTTCCCGAATTCCTCTCTTTCTAATCAATCTAAATCGCCATCTGATACTTCACAACTTTTTCCACAACTTCCCGAATTCCTTTCTTTCTAATCAAACTAAACATTCTTCGTGTCCCTGATAGAACTTCTCCTTAACGCTTCTTAATTTCATCTACAATTACTTACTTGGTGTTCGGCTCAAATGAATCACCAATTAATGCATCAAATCTTTCTCTCATGGAGGATATCAGTAGGACATATTGTATGCTACATAATGTGATGATTGAAAGAGGACAATTAACATTTCCTTTTTATTCATATTCATAGGTTATTCATATTTATAGGTGAATTTTTTAATATGATATTATATTATTTTATTTATTGTCTTTTTCATTCACTTATGAAAAATCATGTGTATGCTACTATTGATATTTATACTAGTTCTACTTAATAAGAGGTAATATGTGTTTACAATATATTGCCTTGATATTAATTTAAGAACTTTATTTATTAATATGACAATTTAAGTTATTTAATTCAAAATTCTAGAATATTTTTTATAAAATATAAATAGTTTTTCTTCTTTTTATTTATATCAAATTTGAACCGATGTTTATTGACTTTATGTCTGTAATATGTTACTTGCATTACAACTTAGTATGATTCATGTACTAAATATTACTTCCCCATTATTTTTTTACCAACGTATAATAGCAATTACAAAATTCACTAAATAATGTGATAACTATGAGAAAATGAAAGGAAAAAGGCTTAATGTCACAACACTTGGAATGTTCCTTTGTGACTCTATTTTTGTCATCCTTTTCTATTTGCAGGCTATGCATTTTGGAAGTCAAGACAACCTGCCATCTTTCTTAGCTCGTTGCACAATTTCAGGACGGAATGTTACACTATTTTATGAAAAAACTTTATGAGGATCTCCGTAATGAGTTGGGAAAGCAATATGTACAGTTTCACTATTTTTGAGACACATTTTTACATTAGGAGTCAATTTCTAAGAATTATGTGACTTTAATGATTTTTCGTGTATGTTAGCCCATGAATTTTGATGTCTTATGTGCCCAATCGATTTTTTCTGAAAAAACTTTATGAGGACCTCTGTAATGAGTTGGGGGAGCATTACATATAGTCTGACCATATCTTTGCATTTAGGGCCAGTTTATAGGAATTAAGTGATTTTTTTTTGTTTTTCATGTGTGTTAGCCCATAGATATTGACGTCTTATGGCGCCCGGACGATTGTCCTTAGAAACTTTAAAATAACCTTTGTAATGAGTTTGGGGAGCATTACGTATAGTCTCACCATTTTTTGTTACATATTTTTGCATTTAGGGGTCAATTTATAGAAATTAGGCAACTTTATTAATTTTTTCATGTGTGTTAGCCCATAGGTATTGACGCCTTATGGAGCTCGGATAATTTTTATCAAAAAACCTCATGAGGACCTCCGCAATGAGTTGGAGAGGATAACATATAGTCTCACCATTTTTTTTGCATTTAGGGGTCAATTTTTAGGAATCAGGCGACTTGTTTGGTTTTTCATGTGTCCTAGCCCATGAATATTGACGCCTTATGGCACTAGGACGATTATTTTGAAAAAAAACTTATGAGGATCCCCATAATGATTTGGGGGAGCATTGTGTATAGTCTCGCCATTTCTTAGGCAAATTTTTGCATTTAGAGGCCAATTTATAAGAATTAGACAAAAAAAAAAATTGTTTTTCGTGTGTGTTTGCCCGTTGATATTGACGTCTTATGGCACCCGAACACTTTTTTTGAAAAAGCATCATGTTGACCTCTATAATGAGTTGAGAGAGAAATACGTATAGTCTCACCATTTTTTTGTGGCATGTTTTTGCATTTAGGGGCCAATTTATAGAAACTATTTTACTTTTTTTTGTTTTTCATGTGTATTAGCCCATGGATATTGACTTCTTATGGCGCCTTAATGGTTTTTTTGAACAACCTTATGAAGACCTCCATAATGAGTTGGGGTAGCATTACGTATAGTCTCATTATTTTAGGCATATTTTTGCATTTAGATCCTAATTTATAAGAATTAGTCGATTTTTTTGGTCGTTTATGTGTTACCCCATAGATATTGACACCTTATGGCGCCCGAACAGTTTTTCTGAAAATTTTTTATGATGACCTCCATAATGAGCTAGGGGAGCATTATGTATAGTTTCACCATTTTGAGACATATTTTAGCATTTAGAGATCAATTTACAGAAAATAGGTAAAACAAATTTATATTTTCGTGTGTGTTAGCCCATAGATATTAACGCCTTACAGCGCCCGAATATTTTTTCTGAAAAAATATTATGTGGACCTCCATAATGAGTTGGTTAAGCTTTTTTTATGCATATTTTGCATTTAGGGGCCAATTTATAGGAATTATGCATCTTTTTTTGTTTATTTTGTGTGTTAGCCCATAGATATTAACGCCTTACAGCGCCCGAATATTTTTTCTGAAAAAATATTATGTGGACCTCCATAATGAGTTGGTTAAGCTTTTTTTATGCATATTTTGCATTTAGGGGCCAATTTATAGGAATTATGCATCTTTTTTGTTTATCGTGTGTGTTAGCCCATGGATATTGACGTCTTATGGCGCTTGAACGTTTTTTTCTGGAAAAAAAAACCTTATGAGGATCTTGGTAGTGAGTTGGGGGAGCATTAGGCATAGTCACACTATTTTTCAAGGCATATTTTTGCATTTAGCGGTAAATATATAGGAATTAGATGACTTTTTTATTAAAAAAAATTGAATATGTTAACCCATTGATATTGACGCCTTATGGTGACAGTTTTTCCAAAAATATTTTATGAGGACCTCTATAATGAGTTGGGGAAGCATTGCGTATAATCTCACCATTTTTTTAAGGAATATTTTTGTAAGAATTAAGCGATTTTTTTGCTTTTTAGAGCATGTTAACCCATGAATATTAACGCCTTATGGCGCCTGAATATTTTTTCTAAAAATATATTATGTGGACCTCCGTAATGAGTTGAATAAGCCTTTTTTATGCATATTTTGCATTTAGGGGCCAATTTACAGGAATTATGCGTCTTTTTTTGTTTATCGTGTGTGTTAGCCCATGGATATTGACGCCTTATGGCGCTTGAACGATTTTTCTGAAAAAAAAAACTTATGAGGATCTTGTTAGTGAGTTGGGGGAGCATTACGCATAGTCGCACCATTTTTTGAGGCATATTTTTGCATTTAGAGGTAAATTTATAGGAATTAAATGACTTTTTAAAAAAAGAAAAAGAAATTGAATATGTTAACCATTGATATTGAAGCCTTATGGCGCCCAAACAGTTTTTCCAAAAATATTTTATGAGGACCTCTTTTGGCATATTTTTGTAAGAATTAAGCGATTTTTTTGCTTTTTAGAGCATGTTAACCCATGGATATTGACGTCTTATGACGCTCCAACAATTTATCAAAAAAAAACTTTATGTAGATCTCCGTAATGAGTTAGGAAAGCATTATGTGTAGTCTCACCATTTTTTAGGCTTATTGTTTCATAATAGGGAGCAATTTATAGGAATTAAGCAATTTTTGAATTTTTGTGTGTTAGCCTATCGATATTGATGCCTTACGAAGGAATTCAATTTTTGTGTAGCCCAAGTTTTGTAATGAGCTGTATATATCTGTACTGATAACAAAATTCAATTGTTACCAAGAAAATATAATTAATCTATATATGAAGGAAATGTAGCAACAAATGATTTAGTAATGGTCTTCAGCACTCTTATTCAAAGCCAATGATTACACTCCCTCTCACCGGCCTGAAACATATATAAATCATGAATTCTTTAGAATGGGACAACAAGCCAGGCATACTAGGACTGTCGAAGATATGCCTCAACGCGCCCCGCAGCCACTACTTTGGCTCCTATAATGCAATCATGAACTCCACATAACTTTATCAATTCCAACGCAACTTATCCTTTTGGAGCTGACATAACAAACTGCGCGAGCATCCCAACGAAGCCAACATAAATCCGATCCAAATTAAAAAAAAATTAAAGGAAGTTTGATTATTGTGGTATACCAGCCACCTGTTCTGGAACTTCCAGTTCCAATTGAAGCATATAGATCCGTATTTAGATTTGTATGTATAGCCACTTCAATCATACTCGTCCTTTCTCAAAAGTATCTTTTTTCTGGGAACATGGTCAACCAGAAATTATTATGTTCACGATTCTTCATCCACCAATGGATAAATGGTGAGACATGTTTTATTATGCTGCTTCTTCTTGTAAGGGATCAAACAGAAAGCCTCTTCCTAGCATCAAAGGAGTTGGTAACTTGGTTCATTTATCTGAGATTTACAATCTGCTGGTTAACCCGCACAATTAAGCACCTCTGGCGTCTTGTCTTATCAGGATTCTTTTAATCCAAAAACAGCAAAAGCATCTGTACCCTGTGATGCAAACTGTGCAAAGTCATGGATAGAACAGGATGTACTGATGGAGGAAAAACAGTCGAGAAAAAATCGGTCAAAGGTATTTATATCACAAAAACTATTATGGAGTCTATGCTAGACAAGCAAACTTAATGAGAAATTAATGACTAAGGTGAATGCTTACCAGTCCAACTGCAGACACCACCAAGCATCGCCAAAACTTTATATGCCTTTTTTTGACTTTTAAGATTGACGCGAACAACTCAAGAATGAGTAGCAACTGCAGCATTCCCTCAACATTGCAAGCCATAGGTTCTTCAGCTTTGAGAAGCGAATCCAGTGCTGGTTCTCAGTTCACCAGATCTTTTCAAACGAGAAGAATCAACTTTTAGCACTAGAAGAATCATTACGTATAAAATATGCACTACACAGTATACGGTCCTACATACTGTGTGACCGTGTGTCTGACAGAGTTCAGCTTCCTGTGAGAGAACTAGTGAACATCAAAAGGAGGGCTAATGTCTAAGCAATAAAGTTTGACCGCCAGGTCCAAGAAGCAGTTGGAGGTAATGGCAGGTCATTTGCAGTAGAGAAGAGCTTTACAGAAAATGTATCTTCTTAATTCTTAGCATGGGGAGCTTAATGTTAAGGAAGGGGAAGGATAGCAACGTCTTCAGAAACCATGTTTTCGTTTTTTCTGACCTCTGCCAGTAGAGGAAGAGGCAACAGAATACCGTGAATTAGCAAGCTCTCGGGGAATTGCAGCACCAGATGTTTTAAGAGCTTCAACCAACTGGGGAAACAATTTCTTGTTCTCTTCATTCACAAAGACAATTGATGTACCTTCCTCCCCCATTCTGGATGCCCTTCCCACCTGGTGCACATACTCCTTGATGGAATTTGGCATATCAAACACAATAACCTGTTTCACAGTCAACAGATCGATTCCTCGACCCAACACTCCTGTGGCCACAATAACTGGAATTTCTCCAACTAGAAATGACCTTACAATTTCTCTCCTATCCTTCATGGATTTCTCACCATGAATTGATAATGCTTTTAGCCCAGTACTTACTGTTATTGCTTCAGAAAGGAGATCTGCTCCGAGTCTAGAATCCACAAATATAATAACTGGTGGCTTGTAATGCTGCTTGCTCATCAAAATATCAAAAAGCTTTTGCTTCTTCCGTTTCGAGTCTACCCAAATAGCTAACTGCTTGACAGCCTGATTAGGTTTATTTGGCTTCCCAACAGAGATGACAGTAACCTTTTTCGCCATTGAGCTTGCCATCTTCTCTACGTCTTTAGGAATTGTAGCGGAATACATTAACACTTGGGGTTGAGACAGAGCCGTAAAAATCTGCATCACCTGCTCACGGAAACCTCTTTGGAGCATGCAATCAACTTCATCAAGAACAAGAATTGAAATAGTATCCAGTTCAATCTCGTGTTTCGTTAAAAGGTCAATGAGCCTTCCAGGAGTTCCCACAATTAAAGATACTCCCTGCTGGATGCGGTGGAGCTGTCCTGCCATGGCATCACCACCTACCACCAACGCAGTTTTGAATGGCAAACCCTTCCCGAGCACCTTAGCTTGGTCCTCTACCTGTATGCAGAGTTCTCTAGTAGGTGTGAGAACCATAGCTAATGGTTGTTGCTGGTTTTGGAAATGCTCTTCATTGAATTTTGCACACTGAGAAACAATAGGAATTAGAAAAGAGCCAGTTTTACCAGAACCAGTCTCTGCTGAAACAAGCAAGCTTTGCCGTGCTAAAGCAGCAGGGATTGCTTGCATCTGGACGGGAGTTGGCATTTCATAACCAGCAACTTCAATATTCTCGAGAAGCTTCTGAGGTAGCTTGCAAGAAGCAAATGACAAGATGGGAGGCGGTGTAGTATCTCCCTTCACAAGAATATCAAGTTTCCTTCTCAGAAGTTCAGTCTGGTCAGTTGTTAGTGGATTCACTTCAGATTTATCATTATCCCTTACATAATAGCACTCATCAGTTGCTGGTAACTTCACAGGACATGGACGAGCAGTTGGTTGCCGCGATTTTGCAAGCCGCGACAACAATATACCTTTGCATTCCAAGCTGCAAATATCATCATCAGTTTCATCACAAATGTACTCACCATAGCGGCCACATATGACACATCGAGGCTCACCCGGAAGCGCCTCTCTTTGGTCCCAACACCTCTCCTTCACATCATCCTCTGAAGCAGACATCAAAGAAGCAATCCCATAAGCACTTAAACCATGTGTTTGCTACATCTTGATAAGAATAAAAAGGGTAAATTGAAACATGAAATCTAAATTGATTTTGATGGTTAACTTTTTACTATGTTTAATGAGTGATATCTGACCTCAATTTCAAAATTTATAAAGTAATTATTTGCAATAGAAGTAAGATCACTAAATGATTAGATTTGGTTCCTTCAAGCTTAACTTTTGGTACTAGTACCAAATTTGACTAATAAGATTTGAGAGAGAGTACTAGTATGATGAATTGCTGTGAAATTGAACAAAGAGATGCATTTATTAACCAGGCAACGTATGGAAATGAGTCACTGACCGTAGAATTATGGATTAACACAGAAGAAAACAAAATATTTGTTACAACAACTAACCAAAAGTGAAAGGGAAGAAGACATTGTTTAATGTTTATATTTTTTTTCAGAAAAAAAATCTAAAACTCTTAATGAGACATTGCTAACACCAGAATTTAAATATGGTCAAGGACTAGAAGAGCTTGACTCACAAACAAAGGTATGGCCAACGGGCTTAGGTAGCCCACTAATAGGCCATCACAAAGTTTGTCCACAACCACAACATTCAAGAAGAGAAACCAAGGGTAACATTGAATCCAATCCACAAAGCCCAATTGGAGCAAGACAAGTTTGAATCCCGCCTTGATAAACTTGGAATTACTATGGTGGAAGGAGAGTTACTGCCTTATAACAAGTGTAAAGTAAGGCTGTTACAGTTCAGGATAGGTCAGCAACTGCTTCTCACAGATATGGGAATGAAAATACATTGATTAAACGTGAATCAAAATGATAAGCCAACAAAAAATGGACACCAGACTAGCAGAACTGCAGAAGACTATTGCAGTTGAGATGAAGGCTAGTTCAAGCAAACCAAGGACTAGCAGACCAAAAAACTTGCTTAGCGAGACGGACAGACCGAGGGGCAGTCCAGGTAAACTTAGGATCAATTAGCTGAATCAGAGACTAAATCCATGAACCCATATCAGCTATCAACTCGAAAAAACATTTTTGGATTTTCATGATGACAGGTGAAGCTTAAATAGTAAGAGTGAGCCAGATAAGCATGGAATAACCACAAGTAGAACAGGTTACGTCTAAAGCGCTATAGTACATAAGCAAATTATCATAGAAAAGTTATCATATCTAGCCAAAGTCCAGGAGAACTCTTTCACCAAAATATCAAATAAGAAGTAACTACTTTCTACAAATTAAAGAACAATGAACAGACTACTCAACTGACATAATCCATAAAATGCAAGAAAGAGGACTGAAAGCAAACTGCTGACTATCCTCATGGCCAACGGCCACAATCAACAATGGAGACTTAAAAGAGCAACTCGAAAAGTACGTGGCAACTAGTTAGGAACCATTGCCATTTAAATTTTATATATATGCAACTATTGCTACGACGGACATTAATTCAGAGGTGGAGCCAGAGCTTTTAGTTTATGGGTTCTAAACTATAAATATTTTTGCTTACTGGGTTCTGGATGAATTATTTATACGTATTAAATAAGTTTTTTACATATAAAGGGTTTGAGCCAAAGCTACTGAACTGGCTCTCCACCACTAACATTATCCAATATCAACACAATGTATCTCAAATTCTATCAATTCAATTCATTTCAGCTTATTTTGCAGCTTTCTCTTTAAAAATCAAACCGTTAAAACGTTTCATCACACACTCTCAGTTTAGAATAATGTTAGCCATAATGCTTTCACACAATCCTTCAATTCAAGAATTTTTACAATAAAATGCTTTTAAGAAGCAAGCCTAAGAACACATAAAAAAATTGGAACCAAAACATGATCTACAGAACTTTATATGACATTTTGATATATTTTACCTGTGTTTAGTTTAACACCACAAGATTCAAAAATTTCCTTTTTACTTTCTAAAACTCCGTGTCAAGTCACAATCAGCTAAACAAAAGTTGAACCTAAACCCCTCCTGATTCTCAACCCACTTCATCGACAACTAAGTCACACCCGAGATACATAATCCCCTAATTATTTGGCTAATTCAACAACAACAACAACACTAATCTAAGCTCAATCCACTCAAAATTTTTTTTGCAAAAACTCATAAAATTGAAATAAAAAAACAATCTTTACTTTGTTAAAGGAAATTACCTGGGGGATTACTATCATTTTCTGCAGCTACAGAACTTTCCATTGTACAAAAAAAACTTCAAAATGCAAAATTCTCAAGATATCACAACCCTATAAAAATTACAGAAAATTATTCAGCAACACCATAAAAAAAAAATTAAAAATTAAAAAAAAAACTACATACCCTGAATTCTCCTTCAATGATTCTGTTGAATTTATCAAATTTCTTGATTTCCGGTGTCTCTATATGTATATATAGTTACCGGGTTGTCGGATCTTGATTGGGCTTTTCGGGTTGAAAGTGGAGCTAAAGTTTAGGAATTATTGTTTTAGCCCATTGTTTTCTATAAAATGCAAAAAGAGACCCTGAACTTTAATATCATTATAGATAGATACTTTTAAATAATTTTATATTTAAAGGACTATTTTGGAATTATCTTCATATATAAGGGGCTGTGTTTGTCATTTTCTACCTAATAAATATAATCGAGTTGTGTAGAAACGTGAGATCGAATTTGAGATTTGAAGTTTATTCATTTGTATAACAACTTCAAGTTAATGACTAATAATAATTCAGTCCATAGCTAAATATTTATAGATATCTAGTGAATTTCTTAATATATATATATACTCCACCTGTTGTTGTACAAGTGTTCCCCTTTTCTTTTTGGTTTGTTGTAGAAAGAGTGTTTTTTCTGTATGTAGCAAGTTTTTCAATTTCAACATATGGTGTGACAAATTTAAGATCGGAGACTTGAAGAACTATATACTTACTATATTCAAAAGTCTCTCGTTGTTTCTAAACTCTATGTCAAATCAAACTAAGTCACTTAAATTGGAACGAAGAGAATATTAATATGTGACACATTTTCGGATTTCGAGATATAAAACAAATCAAACTAAGTCACTTAAATTGAAACAAAAAGAATATTAATATGTGACACATTTTCGGATTTCGAGATATATTCCAATTTATGTGACACTTTTTGGATTTTGAGATTCAAACAAGTCTATCTTTGATCGTAAATTTTTTGTATACTTTTAAATATTCTAAATTGTCAATTATTGTGACTTATAGTATTTCTTACGTAGTTTACAAATATATAAATTTCATTTTAACAAATTTGAAGATTCCAGGAGCAAATTCTTGGTCAAACTTAAACGGTTTAACTCTCGAAAAACGAAATGTGTCACATAAGTTGGGACAGATGGAGTATAAGAGATTTAGAGCTTCCTCATTTGCAAATGCTCTCATGTTGGTTTTATTCTGCTCCTAATTTTCAAAAATAGATGCCAAAATATGTCTATCAGAAATAACCTCTCTGTCCTACAAAAGTGGGAGTATGGTATATGTGTATTCTATATTCTTCGGACCACACTTGTAAGATTACACTGAATACGTTTTTGTTGTTATAGCTGCCAAAATGAAGTGCTTTCCAAGTTGAATATAAGTTACAATCTGAGAAATACTTGACTATGCTTGAAGTTTTAACATAACAAGTTGGCCTTAATGTAACTATATGGAAACCTTGAGAGTCATGACTTCTTCTTGGATCCGTCTACGCGTACATGGACAAAGAGAATTTTGTTGTATCCGCGTGAAATTCTGATCTTGTCATCGGTATATCTGCATTGTACAAAGTAAGAAGATAGCATAACGATTGATGACAGTTAATTTCGTTATGTCTGCAATAGATCGATATATCTTACAGTATTTCTATGGTGAACTTGCTTTCCATTTCTACTGGAATTCCATACATACCAGCCAGGATTGCTCCATCATCCATTATGACATCGTACGTGTTACTTCCAGATTTCCTACATTAGAAGACGAGCAGTTAAGCTTAACGAGCATACCAAATAAAAGGCTTCCTAGGTGATCGAGCTCATTCACTCCCTATACCTTAGTATCTCTCTGGCTTCTAGTCTATATAAAACGTAGTTAACAGAGTTCAGTATGTCTAACACTTCAGATTTCCTAGTGTAAAAACTGCTTTTGCATCGACTCTCTTTCTCTCGTTAGGTAATTACTGAGGCAAAAAACAGATCTCTCACAAGTCATTTATATCAATAGCTGAAATGGTAAGTACTTACTCATATTTGCCAGTCATGGAGAACCTAATACCGAACAATATGCCAACGAGGAACTTCAACTGTCCATCTGGTTTGACAATCTAAAAAGAAAAACTCAAATTCCGAATAAGAAAGTATAGTACGTGACCAAAGATATCAAAGTCGATAGAGAAAATAAAACAGCAGAATGAAGAGGCCCTATGCACCTGATTTCCCATCAGACCGTTGCCAGCATTCTCTAACCAACTATCTGTTTCAACCTGTAAAGCAGATAACGACCTCAAGTTAATATATGATACGAGAAATGAATGATCTATTCGGAAAAAGGAGCTTTATTAAGTGTATTCGTATATCAGAGTTATTCTCAAGTTAACAGCTCTAAGTATCTGATATAACCAAACAACATGTTTAGAACTTATCTTTTCTTCATTCGTTAAGGTTAAATTCATACCAGAGTCGGATTTAGGATTTGAAGTTTATAGATTCCTACATCGACCTCAAGTTAATACACAATAATAACTGGATTCATCGTCAAATATTTGTCACTCGTAAGTTGTGTTCTAGATATCAAAGTAGCGCGACACACTTATCAAAGTTTGCATTTGAAAGGAAAAGAGACGTTGGACAGATACCTGTGAACTCCATATCATTTGCCACTCTCCCTCGAGGAGTTCCAGTTCAGGATTCGCAACATTTTGGTTTAAGGAAATAAACTCGTCAATTGCCTGTTAAATTTCACATCAAGCAAATTATTAATCACAGAACCAACACATGTTATAACAGGATTTTCACAAGAAACGAGCGTAAATTTGTACCTTTTCTACCCTTGTCCCCGTTGAAATGGACGAAAGCAACTTTTGCCTTGGTTCAGTTTCCCTTTGCAGCACAAATGTAGTTCCCTGCACTATATCAGTATAGTTTGTGGCCCTTAAACGCTTAACTGATTACCCGTCACAAGAAAAAGCTGATAGTATACAGTTAACTGATTTTACGCTATGTTGCTTGGACCCTCCGAAAATGCATAGTTTTTGAAGGATCTGAGACACACCAGCGATATCTTTGAAGAGTCCAAACAACATTTTATGCATGGTGTATAACGTATAACAGTGAGGAAAAGCAAAACAGAACAAATGACACGAGGTAATTACGTTCTCCTACCTTGTTTCCTCTTGAAATACGGAGATTCCCGGATGGAGACAAATATGTTGTGTCTAACCAGCCCTTAGCTTCATCTCCTAGAAGTCTAAAAGGTACAGGATACGGAACCTTGAACGGTAGAAATTTGAACGAAAAAGCTGCTCTATCAAACTGGAAAAGAATACGTTTTCCGTCTTTGATTGTTGCAAGTGCCTGAGGAACATAAGACTTGCATTCAGTAAGATACCAAAGAGCCAAATTATTGTTCAAAACTGAAGTAGAAAACTACACCTTGGTCCAAACAGGTTGGGGTCGGCTATATGAATCTCCACTTCGAACAACTTACAATATTCAGTAAACTGGATAAAAGATACATACCTCTACTTTCAGCTCACCTATTGCCTCAGAAAATTTTACAATGTTGGATACACGTTGATCGTTCGTTCTAAGGAACACTTCTTGAAATACACTGAATGAGTCAACCCCAACAAATGTTCTCTGCAAAATGGCTCATATAAGGAAAACGATAAGTTAGACAACCCCACGTTTTCGTTACTGCCTTTTGTCCCAAGGAAAAGAAGATATTTGCTGATGTTATGATCAATGCTAATGTTAACGACTAAAAATTTACTTCTTTGAAATCCTCAATACAGTATCGATTTTTGGTATGTCTACGAAATGAATATTGACCATCATTTCTTCATTTCAGCTCTCTAACCAATCTACGCACCAGAAAAATGTCAACAGCTGAAAGCACAGTAAACAAAAAGTATAACATCTAACCTGAATAGGGGATGCTGATCCTGGCCTAGTCGTGAACATCAACTGCCACCGACCCTCTATCAAACTCGAGCTTGTCTATAGATATTAGCCCATGTGAATATAACACCAAGTCACTAACAACATTGTAAAGTTGCAAACTTTCAAATTCCTTTTGTTCCTTACATCACAACATAACTTATCGTTTTTAGTATCTTTTTCTCACAGATATGCAGCCACATTTATCATAATCAACGCTAAGAAATGAGTGAAAGGGAAATGCAATGAAAGCGAAAGCACTCAAAGACAATACTCACCGGTTCAGAAACACCTTCTGATCCTTCGAGAACTTTAACAGCACGTTCAACCTCCTGCATAACCATATATTTACTTTAGATCCTGGATCTGCCTATAATATTATACGACACACAAGATGACCCCTAAAAGATGTCAATCTCAGAATGAAATTCAAATACTGTAACAGTAAATGCACCAACAACTATGGGGCAACTCCAAACAAGTTCGGATCAGCTATATGAATCCTCACTTCTCTAGTTAAGCTCAACTCGTGTTACATCTCACTATAACAATAAAGATAACAACAACAACTATGGCGCAATCCCAAACAAGTTGGGTCGGGCATATGATTTTCACTTCTATATTTATGCTCAACTCATGTTAAGCCTCATTACAACGATAAATATAACAACTACTACTACTATGCCTCAGTCCCAAACAAGTTGAGGTTGGCTATATGAATCCGTACTGCTTCTTTTATGCTCAACTCAATCGTTATCATACCAAACTAAATACAACAACATACACGGTGTAATCTAATATGACATTCTTTATCCGGAGTTCCACTGTTCGATCTGGAGCATGACATTCAAGGACCGGGAATATATTCACAACTCTATGCACGGTCCACACCAGACCCAATGGGCGTGATTCTAATACCATGTCAAATTAGGTCCATGAGTATATGCAGGCCTTACCTCAAACACGTGGAGGTAGAGAGATTGTTTACGGTCATTAAATAAAAATGAAATATAAATTATATATAAAAAGTAGTAGTAATGATATTATAAGTTCTCTAATAAGTCTAAAACGTATTTCCAACTCGTAAATATCACATATATGGATCTTTTTCTTCCATTCTAATGTGTAATCACTCTATCGTTACATGCTTCAAACTACTTAATCCACTGTATAGCCCACACATTTTCAATCTCTGCATTATAATATCGTCTATAGT